TCCAAATAGAAAACATTAACACATGCACATATCTTCTGATGTAGCTTAAGATTGGTTTGGCAATGCCATTTACATCTTATTCGCTTAAGCTTGCATTATTAGTATTGTCTTCAATCCATAGTTTCTTGGCAGGAAACTCTTGTCTATTTACTGAGGGGTAGTTTAGTTAATACTGGGAAATAAAATCTGTAGGTCATCTCAGCAGGGACACTTGAAACTGAATACAGCAGGGGCAGCCCTCTGTAGAGTGGGTCTCCTACTCTTCCTTCAGCATATCTGGAATACTATATGCAACACTGCTCTACTCAACACAAGAATCAAGTCAGAACACCAGGGTTAATCCATATATCAAATATTTTTTGTTTGAAATATATAATTATAGCTTTTCATTATCTTATTCCTCCATATCTAACCTATCAGCAAATATTGTCAGCTATACCTTCAAAATACATTCAGAATCTGATCACTTCTCACTTCTCCATCCATTCCAACATACTGGTTCCAAATGGCTATCATCTGGGTTAGAATATAGTTAGTATAGTCTCCCAACTGGTCTCCCTGCTTCTGTCCTTGGCCCCGGAACCTCAGGCAATGTGATCTCATTAAATGTGTGCCATTTGTCTGTTCAAATGGCTTACCATCTCAGAAAGAAAGCCTAAGACCTCACTGTGAGATAAAAGGCCTTCTATGATGTGTCCTCATTACTTCTCTGCTACTTGCTCACTCACATCACACACAACTTTCCTTACTTCTGTGGTCTTCTCATTTAGCCTAGGAGATCTCACAGTAGATGGTGAAAGATGCATTTACTACAAATAAAGAATCAAGAAAGTTTCCCTATGAGGTCAACTACGTTTCAAAGCCTTTCCACAACTAGGTAGATTTCCTTCTGAGACTGTCCCAAGCCAGCCCTTCTGCTAATGGCCACCAGGACCACAAAACTATTCTGTAAAATCGATGTTTATTTCCTTGATTTACTACAAATACAAGGTTTTATATAAACAAAGAGCACATTTTCATTATTTAATTTTATAGATAAGTCTTCAAAAGCAATGCATGTAATAAAGATTATTTGCAATACCCATATTTGATGCATCGTCTTCACAACCACAGTTTAACATGAATTTAAATTAAGCCAATAATTCCAAGGTGACAGTTTTATCTACAAAGGCTCCATTTTTATTTAAACTAATTTATTTAATGGAACAATTTAGGACACTGTTTAAACTGATCCAAATAACATTCAAAAAAGAAAAAAAGGAAAATAACTTTAAAATATATTTTAATAGTAGAAATCGTTTTTAAAGAAATAAATCTTAGTCTCAAATGTGAATGTTAATTGTACTATTTCTTATTAAAAAGATTTAAGGAAGATAGCAATGTAATCATTAGAAAAATGTGAACTGAGATAAAATCCACCACTCTCTCATAAAATACTAATACACAAATATTAAGACTTCTCAAAAAATACATGCTGTGAAATGTAACAAGTGAAAACCCTGAAATAAATAACATACAAAATTATAAAGTTCAAACACGTTATGCTTCAACTCTTATTTCACTTGATTTCCATTGCTTTCTAGATGCATCTCATGTACAAATAGTTCAAGAAACCTGGTGATTTTTTTTTTTTTATTATAAGGGCTGAGATGGCAATGATTGAGCACTCTGCATTTTCTTTGGTAATAGAAAGTATGATATATGAGAGAGGAATAAAAATCTAAGAAAACCACTCAATAAATTATTCAATTTTCAGATCAAGCTGATTTAGAATGAATTTCCTTCAAGTTGCCAGTATGGAAAATGTAGTTTACTGGATAAGGACACAGTGTTTAAGAGAATATCTGGGTTTGTATCCCTGTTTTTAGTAACTCCTTGACTGTAGACAAAGCACATAACCTCTTTTAAATCCCAGTTTATTCATCAAAAAAATGGGATCATAATAGGAAGTACATCTCAAAGTGAAAGATATATGCCACTGGTGGCATTCAAGATGGCTGGTATTTGACTTTTTGTCAAATACTATTTATTTTAGTGTGTGTGAGAAAGATATAGAATTAGTAAGTCAAATAAAAAAATTACAGAGGAACTCTCTCAGGATAAGCCTAGGGAGCACTATGGGAATCTCTCTTTCTCAGAGAGTAGTTCTTTTCGGCTGTACTTTGAAACTTCATATCCATGCACATGGACTTTTAAAAAACTGTAGAATTGTTTACACAAATGACTCAAATGTTGTAAACAGAGACCTAGAGTTCATGGGAATTTGTAGAACTAAAAAAGTGAGATAACAGTCATAAAGTACTTAGAGTAGTGCTAAAGTGTATTAAGAACACAATAACTGTTGTTAATATTTTTTCCTTTTCTATTTTACCATATTACTGTGATGCTAATAAACCAAAAATACTATGCCCCGGCATAAAAGAAGTTAATGAGTATCTGTGCATAATAAAATCATCATCTGTTACTTTCCAAATGTTTTATAAATAGGATGCATCAAGTAACCAAGAAACCAAGAAAGAATAAAAGAAATTAAGAATAAAAATAAGTCTACGGCCATGCTACCCTGAACAAGCGTGATCCTGTCTGATCATGGAAGCTAAGCAGGGTCAGGCCTGGTTAGTACTTGGATGGGAGACCACGCAGGAAGACCAGGTGCTGTAGGCATAAAAAATTAAAAAATAAGGGATTGTAAACTGACAAGGTCTTTGCAATCTGTGAAGTCAACCCAGGGTTGCCTTGCCTAAAAAAATTTTAAAAAAATCAATCAAAAAAAAAAAAAAAAGAATAAAAATAATTTTTTAAAATGGGGTAAAAGCTTACAGAAAACAAATGAGCAAGGACCTGATAAAATTAAACAACATAAATCATTTATCATAAAAATATTTGGTAAAATAATATAGTTTGCATTGACATTGGGGCTAAGTAAATCTGCAAATAAAATCTGAGGAACGATCAAACCCAGTGAACAGTACCTATACCATCTCCTTAACCTTTGAATCGGGACATTTGCAATAAATAAAATAGCTTTTTACTTATTTTTTTAAAAATTCTATCAAGTAATGCAGTACATATCACTGAAATAGAGGTCTTAAACTTTTCCTGTCATTTTTCTAAGTTCCTCTTTTCCAAAAGGGTGAAAAAGGCTATGTTAATATTCAACATAATATTGCTTGGAAATTTTCCTTTTCAATGCATGTTATGTATTTCCCATTTTATTGCAATTGAAGTTAAATATTTGCCGACAGGCAGTACTTTCCACCAAAAAAATATGTTCACCATTTTGTGAATATGTTATATTTCTTTTAAACAAATGGTTCTAAATTTAATCTACCAACATATAAAGTAGCTTTAATATTTTTTGTGTTCCAATTCTTAACACAAACTAACCCTAAATTTTCTTTTACATTGGCCAAGGATCATTCAACAATAATCAAAAGACAGTTAATATATAACTTAAAATCTGGATGTCTTTAGTGATAGTAAGGTTAAATTCTACAGTATCAATAGTTCTTACATCCAAGAATTAAGTGAGGACAGAACAGGGCCCAATCTGGTGAAAGTTCAAATAATGGGTAAGCCATGTGCCCAATAAAATGCATCAAAAGTTTCACCATGAATTTCTTATCTAGAAAAGTGAGCTATAGGCAAATGGATAAGTTAGACAGTCAAGATTAGGATAGATTAGGCACAGAAATGACACCTAATGAGAGTTACACATGATGAATGACAGTAGCTAATGTTGGAGAGTTGGAAGAAACCTATTAATGACATATGGGTGCCTCTCCAAATGAACCGAGAACTCAATGTAATAATTGAAATTTAAAAAGGAATTGTTCTATTTCTTGCTTGAAATGTGTAATACAACTATAATTATGTTATATAACCAAAAGTAGCTTCTTCAAGTGGGTGAATTTACTAGAACATTAAAGCTAATTTCTGGACAACAAACAAATGATTCAAAATCACCATCGAGCTTTATCAAATCACTGAATGTATTTGTCATCCTCAGTAACTGTTTTGGCATCAGAAAATATTCTATTTTGATTTTTAGCTTTCGCTGAAGAAGTCCTTTCCTGCTACATATCCTCTCTCATTAAATAATGCTTTCCAATCAGTAATCTTATAAAAATAATAAGAAGAAATAAATAGAATACATTTTAAAGAATGACATTTCTTCTAAGATTTAACATTTTAACTATAGGAACATTTCTCTGGGTCCCAAAAAAATAAAAAGAAAATTTCCTTTTTGAGTACCTATCAATTTTTAACAATCTGGAGCATGTAAATTTATAACATGTTTTCCTGACAAAAATATACATTTAATCATACTATAAATCAATTTATTCGCAAAAACTTTACTAGTAAATTTGAAAATCAAATTTGCATTTAATTTTTTTGTTACTGTTTTTTTTAAAGGCACAGCTAATAGCTAAAAAATCAGTTAACATTTTATATCAGATTCACTTGATAGCCATAAACCATAAACACTATCATTATAAAGTTACAATGATAAAATGTATTAAAAATCAAGTGGTTTGACTATAAACTAGCTTAATTTTTGTTTGTACCACATCTCTTATTTCCTGAAAACAAAAACAAAAACAAAAACAAAAACCTAGCACATGGCTATTATTAAGATATCAAATGAAAACAAACTTAGGACCATTATTATCAGGGCATTCTTATAATGTATATATCCCATTAATCTATTAATGTTAATCTGTTTTCATTCTATACACTTAACTTCAAAATATTTTTTTATAAATAATAGAAATTTTTGTTTTGAAAAATACTGATTATAATAGAAGTTAGAAGTTATTTTAAAACTTGACAATTATAAGAGGAAATTGATAGCAGAATAGGTCAGAAATAGGGCACTTGGCTTGGTTTTCACAGAAATGATATATTGTGAACCCGTATTGTGAACTCATATTCTCAATACATTCTAAGTAGTAGAAAAAATTCTGATGAAAGAGCATGTCAATAAATTTTGCACTTACTTTGCAGAGGCAAACCGTCTGTAACGCACTGCAACTCTAGTGCCTCGGCCCATTCCATCTTTGGCTGAATCTGCATCTTCTCATATTTACCATTCTCAGTAATGGACTCTGGTTGACTGTTGATTGGTCTAGTTTTCAAGGTTTTCATGTGTTGTTGAACTTCCGCCAAGAGAACAGCTTGTATTGCTTCAGTTACCTGTTAAATTTGTGGTTTTATATGAAATTTTTTAGTATTATTACAAATGGGTCTTGCATAGACCCCAAACCCTGGAAATTTGATTTGAATAGGTTTCACATAAATTGCAGTGTTTCAGTCCACTAGAATTAGCAATCTGAAATAACTGAAATGCAGATACTGAGAACTGGCACCCAAACCGCCACATTATTCTTTCGTAAACACAAGAGATTTTAAAACAAAAGTTGAAAAGAGTTCTGAATTCTTTGTCCTAGGATATTTTCATTACTACCAGATGATCAAGAAAAATAATTTTAGTATGTCATATTGCTTTTAAAGACAAGTTTAGCTTGTCAAAAAATGTCTAGCTCTAAAGCACTATTTAACTAAAAACATTTATTTAATCTAGGTTTAATACAAAAGGTTAAAGACAAGACTTTAATAATAAATCTCACTAAATTGTGTGTATGTGTTTGTGCCTTCATATAGCCCAAAATACTGCAAGGCATGCCATCTGATTATTTTACATACCTAGTCAAGGACCTGTGGTTGAGTGGAGGGGGAAGGGGATGCTTGCCACAGGACATCTAATATTTTCATTTTTAAAATGATGAACCTGGGACATGACATCCCAAATGCCACACAAACTTGATGGACAGGCCTTCTGATCTTTGCTTCTATGGTCTTTGTAGTATATACACTCACTCCCAAGGCTCTATCTTCTTACCCCTGAGTGAAAACTTAATGACAGTGTACCTTAGTCTCTTCCTGGGAAAAGATGAGGCAAGGTCCAGGAGTTAAGTCAAGTTCAAGGAAAGCCAAGTGCTGAATCAGTGAGAAAAAAGGAAGAGTACCACTGGTCTATGTGAACTTGGGACATCTATCCATTTATCCTTCTCTGGCTGAGAGTTAAACCTTTCATATAGTCATGTTCCAATGCCTGCTCCTTTTCCCTTCTAAAGCCTTCCCGCTGTCATGACTCATGTTCCGCAATTGGCACCATGCTTTCTCCTTTATCCCAGTTTATCCATACAACACCTGGAGCCTGAATTTGGGGCAACACCGAGATTGGTGAGGAAGAGATGCTGACACTCAAAACAGAACATGTATTTATCTAAATATTTATTTAATCTCTTTTATGTATCATGGCAGCGTGTGAGACTTTAAGGCTCCAAGGACACTCAGAGAGCTGATATCAATGGCAAATGCTTTCTGAACCACTAGAGCAGAAGGAGTCAGGCCCCTGATCTTCAATATAGGAAGCTTCTCAAAAGTATCAGAGCAGCTTCCTGATCCTGATCATCTCCCTGTTCTTGTCCACTCATATGCTCACACTCAAATGCTTCATTGGGTTGTAAAAAAAGGCTAATGAATGAAATGATTTTACCACTGTAAGCCATATCTACTAACATTGGAGTAGGTATATAATGCTTACTCATGCATATCACGTGATGAGATGCTCAACACTGTGTGAGCTGTGTCAAGAATGTAACATATAGTTCTACATAGAATGATACTGGTAAATCATTTCTATGATGTATGATAATATGATGTATTAGCTATTAGATATGATGTTTACTACAATATATTGACTAAAATATATTGACATACACAATACAGGTCGATCACGCTTATTTATGTATAGCATATGATGGGACAAACTATATTAATTATTCATGAACAATTTTATATCACTGAATTCATTTCGCTTTAATTTTGTCACATATTTTATTTGGCAGCACTGCTTCCAAGATATAGATGGTATGGTAAAAAGAGTTCAGAATCACAAATGAAAAGGCCTGAGTTTCAGATCCAACTATAAAAGTAACTACAAATGCAACCTTTGACAAGTTCACACATTACTCTGGGACTTCATGTCTTCATTTACAAAATAAAGTCTGTGATACTGGAGAAGTTAGGATGAGAGCTTCCAGTCACAGAATCCTATGTGAAACCTGCTTCTATCCATAACTATAAATCAAGAGGATGTTAGAGGATCTTCTCAAACCCATTGTATGTCCAGATTACAGTCGATCCTGCAGAATGAGCAGTTCACCATATGCCCACATGGGATTATGGCTGCCCTGTCACACTGAGATCACTATCATCTCTGAGAAAAATCTACAATTGTGATTTAGAAAGCTGTCTATCCCACTGGATATAATAGCATATAATAGGCTGGATCGATACTCTTTCTTTAAAATATACAGGGATTTATGCAGTTTAATCTAACATTTCTAATTATTCGATTTTTATATCATGACCACATTTTTAAAATTTTGAATTTGGGGGGTTTTGGACATTATCACTGCAAATGTATTATGTAAGAATAATTAATATATCATTGAAAAACAAGAAGCAAAAATGACAAAACATATTAGCCATAATGAGTAGGATACTCAGAGCCATAAAACTTAAAATTGAATGGCACACATCTAATTGGAAACAAACTCAAAATGCATACGTTATGCTCAGTGTGAAATCAATAAAGTATGGCTCCAAATTCACAGAGAAATGGTACATTTCATAAGCAGGTAATAATGTTATCGCAGTATCTGGTATACAGTGAGCACTAAATAAATACTTATGGAAATGAAATAGATTCTCTACACTTTAAAATATAAACTGTAGAAAGTACAATTATTGATAATTTCTGTCAATCCTTGAGTTTCTCTAGTCTATAAATATGGTAGATAAATTTTGTAGATAGTAAACATAAAATTTACCCCAACAAAATATAAAATTTTTATATAACTTTATATATTTTATATAACTTTATTATTTTAACAATGAGCTAGAATTGAAAGCACTATAGCTAAAAAGCTATCTTCCAAATATATATAAATAAATTTCTCCAAAAATACAGATATGCAAAGTATAGCATTCTTATGAGGGAATGTATAGTGATTCAAAATAAAGTCTACAAATCCATTGGCTGGAAAGAGACAGATCTGGGCCATATACTTATTACTAGAATGATTACTGTGCTATAGGCAAGCTGAAAATTTTAATGGTATTCTACTAACACCTTGAAACAGTGAAGTACTACTATAAAATAGCACAGAACATTATAAGATTCGTAAGAGCCCCCAAGGCCTGCTTGTAGTTCCAATGTCCAGATTTTCTGCTAGAAAAGCATTTTCCCAACACACAGACTCACAATGGCCTTTCATATTCTTGTAACATCTGGAAAAGCAACACTTCTCTTAGAGGCCTGGATGTCATATTTCACCCATTGCCGTTAGTTTATAAAATCCCAGGAACTTTAGTGCAGCTTCAGAAACATGCAAATTATCAACCTCAAAATCTTACTGTTGCTTTTCCAGCTTTTCGTTCTATGTTAGGCATGTTTCACATGTTAAGAAGCAAAAGAGACAATCTTCAGAAAAACTCATTTACCTGCAAAATCAACTCATTCTTACCTCTCCCTTAAAGGTAAACCCCGTCATTTTCTAAAGTAGGAGTTTGCTCTACTTTGCAAAAGCATTCTATTACCACCTAGTTCTCTAAAATACATTTAAAAATAGATTCATATTAACATGATTCAACTAACTGATTAAATGAACAGCATTAGGAATTTGAGGACTAGGTAATGAAACATTTAAATGGATACTTGCAAACGTCTCTGTTGCTCCTGAAGGGCACGGGAATTCTCATTCCCACTTTATACATGAGGAAAATAAATAATCAAGTTAAACTCATCTTCCAGAGTCATTCCTCAGGCTAATGACAGGGAGGAGAGGAGAACACTGAAGCTTGGACTTCCTTTAAGTGAGTAATAAATGCAAGCATTTTGTATGCAATGCTGAAGGTCATGGAATCATAGAACCTTAAAGATCCATTAGTCCAAACACGCTCCAAGCTACATTAAAACTTACTTGAAGGTCCAATTAACAACTACAAAAGATCTTTAGTTAGAGCGATTCAGGATAAGTGTTCTGTAGAAGTCTTCTCCTTAAGGATTTTTTTCCTGATTGAGGAATTCTTTGGCTACTGGAGGGAAAAAAAAAATCTCACCTTTTATAGATAAACTCTTTTAGGGTGATTGCTAATATGCTGGTAATGTCAACATGTACTAATGTTCACTTTATTATCACAGAGGCTTTTTGCATAACCATTCATTCATTAAATATTTATTGACTGGCTGCTGTCACTATTGCTTTTCCAAGCATTCGTCAAAGAGGGGTGAATGAGACCAAGTTCTTGCTCTCAGCAAGCTTCTAAAACAGTGAGAAGACAGAAGATAAGCAAGCAAAAAAGCCAACGGTATAATTTCCATTAAGAGCAAGTAAAACAAAGAAAATGAAACTGGGTAATGTGATGGTGACTGGTGCCATGGATTGGGGATGGTATGGTGGCAATATTAGATAGAATGATTGGGGAATACTTCTCTAAGGAGTTGGCTCTTGAGCAAAAACCCAGATGATGAATGTAAAAATAAGAATTCCAGCCCAAGAAAGTTCTTGATGTGGAAATGAGTGTTGTGTGTTCTGGAAAAAAAAAAGTCAATATGGCTAATATTACAAATAGGAGAGAGAATGATAAGCAAAGAGGTTATGCTAGGGGCAAATCATATAGAAACTGTAGGCCGTGGTAAAAAGTTTTGATAGCCATTCCAATGGTATTTATTTGGTTTTATGGTGTCAAATCTCATAGCTTGTTCTGAGTTACTTTCCTTATTTTCCTGTCCAATAATAACTGTTTGTATTTGAAGTTACTGCTATTCTTGTCTTGCAAAATTTACAATCATTAAGCTCATGAAGAAGACTAAAGTTCCAATAAATATTCATCTAATCAATGCACAGATATTTATCATACAACATGCAAAGCTATCTATTTAGCTGTTAGAACTTAAAAAGAACTGAAAAGAGGAAGGACTTAAATTGGGCATTGAGAAAAACCAGCTCTCTAATCAGCTCACAGATGAAGCACTCAGGAGAGAAAAATGATTCTAATTACACATACCGAATTCTCAAGATGAAGGACCTTTGTGTCATGGCATATTTTGAAATAAAATAATAGACAATTCTGCCCTAAACTGAAACCGTAATGGGCAATAAGTTGTGAATAACAACATGAAAATTTCTTCCTCAGCTTCCTCTATTCATACCCCTGAACTTGGTGCATCCTTACACAAGTTATTTTCCACTTTTCCCCTGATTATTAGTCTCTGCATTAGTCCTGTTAAATGAAATGCCCTGGGAGGACATTTGTGAAAACAAGGGTACCTACTTACTGCTACTCTCAAGTAAAGGGAAGTACAAATGAACCACAGCAGCAAGAAACTCTTCCATAATTTCAAGAACACAAACTGTTCATACCTGCACAGACTGGTCTCTCCAACAGGAAATAAGCTTCAGAAGTGAAACATCAGCTTCAGGTATATGGGATTCATTCTTATCTAGAAATAAATAGAACACATATATATCTTGAAAGTATTAAAATTGAATATACCTCAAGAGTCCTCAACCCCAGCTTCACATTGGCATCACCCAGGGAGATTTTTTACATAAACATTAATGCCCAGGTTCAATTTTCCAGAAATTCTGATTTAATAGGTCTCATGGTGAGGGTGGGACAGGCATTAAGACTTTTTAAAAGTATTTCAGATCATTTTCATGTATAGCCAGAATGGAGAACCATTAATTAATTTGTATGTATTTCAAACAATTATACTAATACTTATTCAAATTAAATCAAATTCATTGTTATACCTCTATACCTCAAATCCATCTTTTTTTCCACTTTTTTGTCAACAAGAAGCAATAATATTCCCACCCAAAACAGATCACTAATATTCTCTCTTAACAGATCCTCATAAAAATAGTTCCTGAAATTGTACACTGCACCTAACACACAGAAATCATATAAAAGATTTCCTTTGATTTGTCCTTACCCAGCTATACTACTCTGATCAATAGATATAGCACTTACGTTTTAATTTGCCTCATTTTTTTACGTATTGTTTCTTTTAAGTTTGCCCTCTTGAATGTCCTTTCTATCTATTTGCCTTAATGTTCAGTGTGAAATTTCGAGAGTGGGCTAGGACTTGGTTTATTTAAATTGATCCATAGTGTCCAGCAGTTTCTTGCACAAAAAAGCACTTAATAAGTGCCTTTTTATTAATTGAAAATGTACATATTATCGTCCAAGTGAAAAATCAATGAATTAAGGCTTTCCGATGGATAAAATATATTATGTAGGTGCCAAATCTTGGGAATGAGATAAGAAAGAAGGATGAGGGGCTTGCCCTGGAGGGAAAATTACTATAATTGTCTATTTAAATTAATGTATTAATATATGTTTCAAATCCTGATATCAACTATTTAAATTAGTATTAGTCTGATACGTATTTCATTGAAACACCATTTTATATATTAATAAATATGTATGTGTATCATATTAATGGTCAAGGGAAATGTGTTAAAAGGTATTTAATATAACATAAACTGAGAACATAAAAGAAATAAGAAACTTCTGACTCATTAATATCATTTTTTCCTGATGGAACATATAATTTGAATTTGAAATGACCAAGATCGGTGCATAAAACTTGTAAATATGATAGAGGACTATGATTTTGAAGTCATATTTTCCATTTCTTCATGAGCACAGCCAGTAAGAGAAAAAAATTTTTTTGATCTCTCTCCTTTTTTCTTCTATCATTTTGTTAACCTTGTGACTCTACCATCAAAGCTAAATATGAGTATCAACTGTAACTACTTACTGGCATCATGGGGTACTTCACAGCATACTTTAATGTGATGCTAAAATTTTAATATGAAGTAGAAATGAGAGCCAACTTTTCTTGGCAACGTCAGTGAGTTAAAGAACAAATTGCAATTTCAGGGGAAAAGATAAAAAGAAAACATTCCAAGTTTACC